TTTTTTTTTTTAATGATGAATGTATTTTGTGTGAGGTGATTTGAAGTTGTCATTTTGAGGTCATTTAAGAGAAAAGATAAGCTATCCAAGCCTGATCTTAATGTGCTGCACATGGTGCACGTAAAAGAGTCAGTCAACAGTCACATGCTTTACTGTCTTTAATAGCCATGGATATGTCCTTGGGAGATATTTTATGCCAGCTGCTGTGCTTTTATGAACTTAAAGAGCTTGTGTATTCAGTTATAGCACCAAATGCCTCATGGGGAAATTATTAATACATTATTTTGTATAACTTCACTGGAAATTCCCAGGCGGAGAATTAATCTGTTAAGATGCACATGAGTTTGAGTCTGAATTTAGTATAATTAATGATAGAAGATGCATACAGCATTACTATTGCAAATCATTTTTTTTATTACTATTTTTTTTTATTATAAAAGTATAATTATATTTAATTTAGGTGAACACTACAGAGTTGTATATTTGAAATTATATATTTAATATTAAAATAAATATTGAAGTACTGAAATAATGAAGATTTATCAGGGTAAATCAGGGTAGCTGGTTTGATTATTAGATTTTATGGTAAGGTCAATGAAATTTCCTCAATGTCATTAAGATTTCAGAGTTATTACTTTTTTCTTTCTTTAGTTTGAGTTAAAGTGAGGATATATTTACATCATTTGCTGCTGACTGGAATTTCCCAGACTGATTACATTGATCCAGAATGATTAATTTTGCTAATAATAATAACATCACAAATCTGTCCAGCTCTGTAGTATAATTAACTGCTCTTATTATTGAAATATATATGTCAAAATATATCTACGTTGTGTATTGAAGATTGTATAGTGATGGATGTTCAATTTATATATTTATTCATAAATGTGTTGCACCCAAGCACCCCAAGAAATTAATGAATTTGTTTTTGTTGTTTTTTTGGCTTAGAGTAATCCTGGAGTGAATTCAAACATACCATTCTTATCAAGATAATTGTAGGCAAAACAACTTTGAATGGTGGTGTCTGTGATTTTGTATTGCATAAGCACCATGTGACCCAACAGATCTCTTTATAAGACAGTCGAGTTAACAGAAGGAGACAAGGGAGTCTCCAGGACAGCTCTTGAAACATCTTCAACTCAGCAAGCCATCACAAGACCAGCATGTCCTCTATAAAGCGTCTCAACACTTCTGGTAGGTTCTAATCATAGATTTGATGTGTGTAGTGCACAAAACTTCAGATCTGAAATTCTTCTTTTCCCAGCAGACTCACAGAATAAACACCAACACTTCACTGATGTTCATGGTCTGCCGTGCATTGAGAATCTGGTGTGCTCTGCAGATGAAACCCCAGAGCCCATCACAACTACAATTACAGGTAACATCCCCTTCTGGATCAAAGGCAATTTCCTCAGAAATGGACCTGGAAAGTTTGAGATCGGAAGAAGTAGGTGAGTGTCATCTGGGTTCCTTGAGAACATAACAGAAATATCAAAGCAAAGTAAATAAGCCGTTGTGTTCGCTCCTCAGTTTCAACCACTGGTTTGATGGCATGGCGCTTATGCACCAGTTCCACATTGAGGATGGAAAGGTGACATACATGAGCCGCTTCCTCAACAGTGATTGCTACAAGGAAAACCTTGAGCATAACCGCATTATGGTGTCTGAATTTGGCACGATTGCCATGCCAGACCCATGCAAGAACTTCTTCCAGCGCTTCCTCTCTCGCTTTGAGCTGCCGAGTGAGTGAGAAGTCTTTGGTTCTGATCGAAGTGGTCTGAATATGTTCTGCGTATGTGAGCATGTCATCTCTCTCTTCCCACAGAGCCAAGTGACAATGCGAATGTGAGCTTTGTGCAATATAAAGGAGACTACTATGTCAGCACAGAGACCAACTTTATGCACAAAATAGACCCACAGACGCTGGAAACAAAAGAAAAGGTACATACATACTAATTATGATTTTTAAAAACGTTTCTAATATATTTGTATGGAGAACAAACTGAAGCTGAAATGTGAAAATCGTCATGTTTAGGTGGACTGGAGTAAATTTGTTGCAGTTAATGGAGCCACAGCTCATCCCCATGTGGATCCTGATGGAAGTACATACAACATGGGCAACTCTTACACTCGAAAAGGTTTGTCAGCAGCTTAAATCTAAACAAATCACACTGATTAAAGAAAAGTCTAAAAGTGTTTAATGAGTTGCCAAACAAACACAAAGATAAGAATTGTTAAAATTCTTCTTCTTCTTTAATTTTATTCTTAAGGTGCTTTCTACAATATAATAATGGTGCCGTCAAAGAAGGCAAATCCAAATGATACCTTGGAAGGAGCCTCAGTTGTGTGTTCAATCCCCTCAGAGGACAAGTCCAAACCATCCTACTATCACAGCTTTGGTAAGTGAGCAATGCCTACAAACTCTTTTGCAAATAAATGAGTGAATTTAAACTTACTGTATACATTTATATTTAAAATATTGTATAGAAATGTTTGGGGTTTGTAAGATTTTTTAAAAAATATTTAAAAATAAGTCTCCTTTGCTCACCAAGGCTATATTGATAAAAAAAAAACAACAACACAGTAATATTGTGAAATATTATTACAATTTAAAATAAGGTTTCTTTTTGAATATATTTAAAAATATAATTAAGCAGTTTTCAGCAGTCATTACTCCAGTCTTCAGTGTCACACAATCCTT